CACAATACAATGTGACCTGAGCAAATATATCATAATAGTACCTTTAACAGACAAAACAGAATTAACTATATCCAAAGCAATAATAGGTTATTGTAATTTAGGTTTTGGTCTAATGAGTACCAAACGCACAGATCAACGTACGGAATATAAAGAAATATTTGACACTGTATGTGAACTTCTCAAAATTAATCATGTATGTGCTACAGCTTATCACCCAGACACTGGGAGCGTTAGAGAGAAACCACAGGTGTTTGAATGAATACCTGCGGATTTTCATTAATGAAGTCAAAAACAATTCGGATAACTGGATTCAACATTATTCATTTTGTTTTAATACTACACCGAATACAAACCACAATAATAGCCCATTCGAAATAGTATTACGCAGAACCGTATAAATTCCAAAACATTCAAGTAGAAACAATAGAACCTATTTATAATCACGAATCATATGTAAAAGAGCTAAAATTTAAATTAAAATATATTCACAACCACATATTCGATAGAATAGAAAAGACAAAATTAGCCAGGACAAATCTTTCAAATGAATGTATGATTACCAATTCATTATACTTGAAAAATGAAGGAAGAAGAAAATTTGACAAAGTTCAAGATGGTCCTTATGAAATATTAAAGCTAGAAAATCCAAACGCCGAGATAAAAAAAATCAGGTTACGAATCAAACATTATTAGTACATATAAACAGACTGATGAAATTCATATAGACATGTTTATAAAATCACATACATTATACACAATAACCCATAAACTGTGACGAAGCGGCTGACGTAAAATTTTCATTTGAATAGCTATGCCATTCCTAAGGGGGGATGTGTAGTATTACCATCCCAACTAACAATTTTCACAATGTAAACGCTTTACTCATTTCATTTATACAGTCTCAAGCTGTATTCAAACGTTATACGATATGAGGAAACCTTTACTCAACCTCTATACAAGCAAATCTGGCGAACTTAGTCAGCTACTTATGGCTGTTGGAACAGTCGGGAGAAGCTCTTATTGCATATCCATTAACGCTTCTATACAGCTGTTATCCTGCTGTTTAGTTGTGTGTGAACTTGAAAGGCGCTTATTCAACCTTTTCCCGGTTATCCAATAATCACTACACAGCTTTCTCTTGAAGCCGGGTTAAATACTGTTTACGCTTTTTTATGAAGGAATTTATTGAGTTTATTTCGCTGTGAATCAAAGTAATCGAAATTAGTTACAAATCATCACTAATTTATTTACCCTGCACCGGAACCTGGAATCGAACTCGAGACGACCTCATTAGCAAACCTTGACACTACCAACTACGCCAACACTTTGAACTTATGTAAACAAATCAACATTCCCTTCTACAACAAAATCGCTGAGTACAGGCTTTATAATAGTACACATGAATCACTTTTCTCGACTAGTTATAAAAGAACAGAGTAAAATCTGTAAAACTGCACACGTCTAAAAATAAACCTAGTTGACTGTGAAAATGCTTCCGAAGTTGCTCTAACACAGTTTATAAGCTGAGTACAGGTTGTTTAGTTGTTGAAAAAACACTTTTGATGTTTATGTTATTCAGCAAGAGTGGTTAGTTGTGTAGAAGTCATCAAATGAGTAATATATTCACTTTGTTAGCTTTGTTTTGCAGCTACAAGTTGAAAGTTGATTAGTGTGTGTATAGAAGTGACATTAGCGTTTATTGGCTGATGTTATTCAGTGCGACTGAAAAATTGAATAATGGTTGTGAGAAAGATGAGTAAACGCTCTCCAAAACTATTGTGCTAGCTTTTGCTTGTAGCTGTATCTGCAGCTTGTTTTCAGCTACTTTACAGCACAACGCTGGAAAAAGTGGATTACAAAGCTGAAAATGTTAGTTGGGATACTTGCATTATCCCACATGTATCGTGAAACAATCATTTACAATCCATAAACTAACCATTTTCTTTTGACACAGATAAACATCACCCAAATTCTTGACCTACTGAGAAACTGCTCAGTTAACACCAAAACCTTTTCCTTTTCCTTGTTTAATAACCTTTTCTAATTGTTACCGCAAGTGCGTTATGAGCTTATAAGCTTCACGCGTATGCAAGTAAACTGTTTATACAATAAACCCATCGCGTCGCTTCGCTCACTCTAGGTTTATCTTTTGTATACATTCCAAAAATCCAAACATGTTCTTTCATCGATAGAACTCATGAAATAAAGAACAGATTGCCTTTTGAACCGTCAACCGAGTTGGTTGTAAATTATCCGAAGTCCGTCATACCTCAATATAGTGGGTGAGGATGACTGCAACAGACGATGAAAGTGTGAAAGAGTAAGCTGTTTTGTTGTTGAATATTACATCTAAACATCTGCCCAGAGGTCATTCTGCTGGTTGTGTAATATTACGTTGTACGATGTACATCGATTTTGCGAACAAAATTACATCCATTGATGCAGTGTTGGAAAGTTTATTTTCAGTTCTTTTGCAGTTCTTTAGAGAATCATTTTGCTGAAGAACTAGCTATGCGAAAATCGCGAACGAAATGAAAATAGAAGTTCCCGAACGAGATGTGCGAAACAGTTCAGCAAATTATTCCTAAATAAAACAAAAATCGAGAAACGAGCTAGTTCTTGTCTCCTATGTAGTCGCGGAGTAGAATAAAATTATCTCGCTTAATTACTGCCACTCTGCTGATGTTTTCTTTTTCTTTATTAGGTGTTATGCTTTATGCATGATGATACTTAGGCTGCATACGTGCTTTATATTTGGTGGATGTATACATTTAGGATACATTAAGTACACATTTATAAGGTTTTCACTTTCTGTAACTCTTGTTTTACGTTGCTAATAACAGCAACTTATTGGTGCTCACGAGTTACGAATAAAAAAGTTCACGAGTCATAGTTCGCGATCTATGTACATATCGGGAACGAAAAGTTGTGCAAGAAATATCTTTTAACATACGCTCTCTCTTGCAGGTGAGTCAAAGTGGTAGTGATATTAGTTCCTCTCAACCTCAAACAAGAAAGTTCGCTCGAGAAATACCGCTTGCGAAATTCCCATCGATAATTTCCCTAGTGAAAACATCTCGCTTGCGATAATGAGCTTTTGGCGATATTTCCAACACTGCATTGATGTACTATTGTATCTGCTTTTTGCAACATCATTATTTCATACATCAGTTTGAATTACGTTGATCAATATTACCTTTTTTTTTTTGCTGTGTGCCTAAAACGCTGTACAGACTGGAGAGTTATAACATGTTAAAACGGTTGTCAAATAATTGCAACACAGAAACCACCATCAAGATATCGCTATAACATGTCATAACTCTGTAGTCTGAACGTACTATAAGTCAGTTTTACCACTGTCAGTTTGAACAAAAGTGTAAGATTACCCAAAAATGTCAAAATCATGTGAACTACGCTCTAAAAAGTCCACACGTCTGATTGAAGTGTTAAAATATTGGTTTTTTATACGCAAAATCACATTTATTTTAAGTGTATTTCACCATGGTTCAATGTGTTGTACACGTTATCAATTCAAGTGTATTGAATCACACTACTGTTCAAAACAGATTAAGTATTTTGCATTTCAATGCGATGTGAATTGCTTGTTCTGTTACACAGCAAAAAAATAATTTTGATATCACATCAAAGTGGATGCACTACAATCATGTCGAAAATTTCATGTAATTTTTATGACCACATAAATAAACAAATGCAGTAAAAGCAGCGTAATGTCAGTTCATGCATTGTATTAATGATAATTTTGTCCTTTTTAGCAAGTAATATTACACCATATTTTCGACATGATTGTAGTGCATCCACTTTGACGTGATATCAAAATTTTTTTTTTGCTGTGTAGGTAAACATCTTACACATGAATTGTGACTTCATCCTTATCAACCAGCCTCATATATGAGAACATCCGTGGCCCTGTGAGATAGAACGTAGAAAACGGCAGCAGCACATCCCAATGAGAAGATTCGAGCAGGGAATACGAACGGAGCGAAAGAAAAACACGTTCACTACGTTTGACGTATAGATAGGAAGTGTTTATTATACTCAGAGCTGCCAGGTGGTTTTATAAAAAATCTGTATCCACTCTATTAAAAAATCTGTATTTTCTGTATTGACGATTTTTTTTCTTAATTAATCATGTTTTGTTGTTTTACAAATACAGTGCATACAAAATAACCATAAAAAGTGCTACCACCTATTCGGGCTATCGTACTAACCATACGGGATATAATTGCGCCATTTGTGATATCGTCCGTACTTATTTATAAGAGTGATATGAAGCCGTTTGAAAAAGTATGGAGATTTTAGTTTCTATTCATTATCTTCCTGATAAGCAGTTTTAAATGCAAAAAAGTGCAAGAGTTCATTACTATTTGATATTTTTAATATAGATGAATACAATTAATTACATCATTTGTGTGGTAGTTACACCGAAAAGTCGAGAGATGTCGCCCCGCCAGTGCTGGTAAAATCATGTTTGCAGTATGGAGAATATCAGAAAATCCGCAATTTCATACGAAATACATTTTCAATGCAAGTGAAATGTTTACAAGTACTTGTATTTGTACCATTTTAATGTGCTCGGGCACTTTTCTTGTATTTAACATACATGCTTATATTGGAAATATTCAATTCATACTGTAAATCCCCATACAATCTCAAATCGTTTACTACCAGCTCCATATGAATCCGAAAGCGGTTGGTCCTCTTGTTGTGAATGCTGTCAAAAACACCATAACATTCATTTTATAAAAATCTGTATAAATCTGTATTGTAATTTAAAAATCTGTGATAAATCTGTATTCTGTATCGGGTCTGTATTAAGATTAAAAAATCTGTATAATACAGATAAATCTGTATAAATGGCAGCGCTGATTATACTCTAAATTATAAGTAAGCAAAATGTTTCAAGATGTGTATAAAGTAAGGTAAGGCACACACTCAACTGTAAGTGATCAGATTGATCCTAACACCCCTCCTCAAACTTATCACATCTGAATCCCCAAAGTAGAACAATGCTTGTTGAAGGTTGCAGGAACCAGACCTTTCGTCAACATATCTGCCGGTTGTTCGCTGCTTGGCAAATACTTTATTTCCACTTTACGCTTCAGGACACACTTCTTGATAAACTGCAACTTAACGTCCGTATGCTTCAGTTTCTTGGAAGGCGCCTCTGATTCAGCTATCGCGATAGCAGACTGGTTGTCTTCGAATATAACGATGTTCTCCTTGTCCAATATATCCAACTCCTTGAATAACTTGGAGATCCACAGCGATTCACAAATGCAGTCGGCCAATGCGCTGCACTCCGGCTCGGTAGACGACAGAGCGATAGTTCGTTGCTTGCGAGAACTCCAAGATGTTGTAGCTCCATACGTCTGGAAAACGTACCCCGAGACAGAATGGCGGTCATTGGGGTAGGTTGCCCAATTCGCGTCGGCAAAACCAGTTATCTGTTTTGCAGATTCCTCTCTCTTGTACACCAAGCCGTATTGCGCCGTTCCTCTCAGGAATCTTAGAATTCGTTTGGCATGGGACCAGTGTTCCTGGGATGGATTGCACTGAAACTGGCTGAAGTACGAAACAGCGGCACTGATGTCAGGACGCGTGGTTACCATTAGGAATGTAAGGCAACCTATTAACTCGCGGTATGGTTTCTCAAGTTTTTCCTCCTGTGATGACCTCTACAGCTGCAAGTTGGTTTCCATGGGTGTTGATGCCGGCTTACAGGCTTCCATACCGAATCGCTTAAGGATCGCCTCGGTGTAGCGGGGCTGACTCAGCTTCATGACTCCATTCTTGACATCTCGCTCGATCCGGATACCCAAAAATATCTGAGATTCACCCAGATCCTCCATGCGAAACTCTCGTAGCAGCAACTGCTTAACCGCCACAACTTCTTGCAGATTCTTTGACATGATGAGAGCGTCATCCACGTACAAGTTAAGGTATACGGGGCCGGACTTCCCTTGTCGGACATACAAACAGCTATCTTCCACACAGCGCCGGAATCCAATCTTCTTCATGAACTTGTGGAATCTATCATTCCAGGTCTTGGAAGACTGCTTCAGCCCATAGATTGATTTGCTGAGCTTGCACACTTTCTCCCCCTCCTCAAATCCTTCAGGCTGGCACATGTATATATCCTCGATGAGGACCCCGTTGAGGAATGCGGCCTTAACATCCATCTGATGAACTACGAAGTCGTGATGGTTTTCCAAGACCGTCGACATCTTGATCACAGGTGCATACGTTTCGTGATAATCATAGCCATAGCGCTGGGTGAATCCCTTGGCCACCAACCTAGCCTTCCTTATATAAACAGAACCATCTGGGTTGGTTTTCAGGCGAAACACCCACTTACAGTCCACTGGCTTGCGACCTTTTGGGAGATCTACTAGATGCTAGGTCTCGTTGTCGGCCAAAGATTTGAGTTCCTCGTCGACGGCTACTTTCCACTCGGGCCAATCATCCCGCTTTCGCAATTTCTCAATTGTGGTTGGCAGGTTGTCAACATAACTCTCCGCATTGAGGGCGAAAGCGATGCAAGAATAGTCCTTCAGTCTTATTGGCGGATTGCGTTTTCGCTCACTTCGGCGAATTTCCAGGGGATCTCTCTCTTCCAGCTCACTGTCGTCTTCACAGTCACCGAATTCCTCATCTTCACTGACTTCAAACAGCTCAACTAGGCCCTCCTCGTCTTCATCCTGCTCAGCAATCTCCGGATTCACACCATCCGGCATAGGTCCAGGATATGCAGGAACCTCAGGATCCACTGCCGACAACCTCATTGGTCCGGCTAACTCAACAGTACCGGAACCCGGTTCTTTAACCGGATTATCCCCTCCTTCACTCAACAGCTTCGTAGATTCATCAACAGCAACGTCACGGGAAATAAATATCTTTCGCCCGTCCCACAGACGATAACCGCTTATGCCATATCCGACGAAGAAGCAATCCTTACTGCGTGACTCCAGCTTGTTCCGCTTTTCCTTCGGTACAAAACTGTAGGCTTTGCTACCGAAAACCCGGAACTTGGAAACATCGGGTTTGTGGCCGTACCACATCTCGTACGGAGTCTTTCCGCTTGGCAATGCTGCTGTCGGGCTCCGGTTGATGATGTACACGGCTGTCAAAACCGCCTCGCACCACATATTCTTATTCATTCCTGCATCTTGTATCATCGCCCTTGCCTTGTCCATAATCGTTCAGTTGAGCCACTCGCTTACGCCGTTTTGCTGCGGCGTATATGGAACGGTTTACTCAAGCTGTATACCCTTCAGCCGGCAGAAATCACGAAATTTTTCTCTTACATATTCGCCGCCATTGTCGCACCTGAGGCGGGATATGCTGCTATCAAAATGCGACTCTGCCATGGCCGCAAACGTTACGAAAGCATCGTGAACTTCATCTTTGGTGTGCAAAATGTACACCGCCGAAAAATGGGTATAGTCATCAGTGAAAGAAACATAATAACGCTTACCGTTCCAAGCAGCGGGCTTCATACCTCCACACACGTCGCTGTGAATCAGCTCCAGCGGACGTGCACTCCTGGGCAAAGGCATCTCGATGAAGGGCTGCCGTGTCTGCTTTCCTTTGAAGCACGGCCCACACAGCTTGCTCTCCGGCGTTCCACTTTTCTTCATCACTAGGCCTTTCACCATATTTCCATTCACCAACTTCATCAGTCCACTTCTTCCTATGTGGCCATATCGTTTGTGCCACAGTTCTTCATCACTCATAGTCTTTTCACTCAACAGGGCTTTCTGCCCATTCACTTTCCTCACGTTCACGTCCAGTTCATACAGACAGTCCTTCCGTTTGGCAGCGCAAACAACTTCGCCATTTCGCTTTATCACCGCACTGTGCTTCCCGAATACAACCTCCATTCCCAACAGACCCACGCGCCTTATCGAGAACAAATTGTATCGCAGTCCCGGGACGTACAGAACATCATACACAACGCACTTCTGTTGCTTCTTGCCAACGTTTGATACCATATCAACTGTCCCAGAGTGCTTACACTCAAGCACTAGTCCGGACGCAACTTTTATAATCACTGGCTTGTCCAGTTTCTTCACATCACGCAACCATTCCGTCGTGCCCACCATGTGGTCGGACGCCCCCGAGTCCAGAATCCATGTCACGGCACTGTTCTGCGAATCGTTTGCACTGCCAACCGCACTCTCACTAACTAGGCTGCATACGAAAGACACTTCTGCTTCGCTGACGTGAGCTTTTTCTTTACGCATATTCTTTTTGTTGTCTTTTTCCGACACTTGTTCTTTGCGGCTCGGACACTCCGCCCGTTTTCGCCCGAGTTTCCGCACGAAAAACATTTCAACTTGCTCTTCTCCCGATTGCCACTTCGACCGAATAATTTCCCGGCAAAAGCGGTGGACTCACTTTCCACCTCCACATCGTCACTGTTTGCACGCTTCATGCTTTCATTCAACAACCGAGCACGTACAAAATCCAGCGTACACTGATCGTCCGAAAGAGTCTCGAGAACCGTCAATAGATGACCGTAAGAACGCGGCATCGATTGGAGCAGGTAGAAAACAACCAAACGCACGTCCAAATTTATATCCGCCGATTGCAAATTGCGCACTGTTCTGTCAAACACCAGCAGATGCTCTTCCAAAGAGCCACCATCTTCGTATTTCATTGCCGCCAGTTTCTTGAGCAGGAAAAACTGGCCCGAAATTCCCTTCCGAGCGAATGCATTTTGCATTGCCTTCCAGATTTCCACCGGCGATTGCTTCTGCTTGACGTACTCAAGCTGCGAATCCGCTATATTCCGGATCAGGACCGATTTGCACTTCACAACACTCACTCTTCTTTCGGCCAGCCTCAACTCTTTCTGCAACTTAACCTCAGCACTGTCTGCGGCAAGAAGACGATATTCCGGCACATCTTCTGCTACCCGGTCCGATGCACGAAAGGAGCCCCAACTCCTCCAAATGGACCTCCATCCGGAAGCTCCAATTTGCAAAATTGCTTCCGTCGAAAAGGTACACTTTTCTGTCCACTTCCATGGTTGAAAAACACTCTCACTCGACCGAAACAACAATCCGTTCACTCGACCGGACGAAAGCACATACTTTACCGACGATCACGCGATTGCAGGTTAATTTTCGATAATTTTCGATAACTTTGCGTATATAATTTTTTTTTTTCCTAAGTCCAGCTGTTCTCAAGTTAATGCGAATTAAAAAAATATAATTATAACAATTTTCCACATTTTAGGCCATTTTCAAATGTTTGTCGAGATGTCCAGCAACGAGATTTGTTTCATGATTGTATATTAAAAAACAAACAATTCATTCTCAGATATGGTAGCTGTCAGACTTACCCGTTTCTATCTAGAGACAGCGGAAGAGAAGCACGTTGATGTGGTCAAATGAAAGATTTGTTGAGATAAGAAACAGTATATATTTATTATTTTATTCTACAACTCATATTATTTGAATACCTTGAATAATTAGGGTTCGTTATAGGGTGCTCGTGTTGCTTAGCTAAACTTGCTCTGGTTGCCATTCTCTTGAGGGTACCGCCAATCGCATCACAAGGACCTTTGCCGTGTGAAGTTGCAAAAAAATGCCATTCAATTTCTACATAATGCTTATCATTAAATCCACAAAGGCTAGCAAATTTTTTTATGTTTTTGTATTGTGATGCTGCTCCATCTGACATAAAAATACACTTTTGGACTGTTATTTGCGACTTTAAAATTCTAATAATTTTGAGATAAACAACTGAACTGCTACTGTGTCATGCTTTGAAATGTCCGAAATAACCACAAAACTTAAATGGTTCAGTGTACCATTATCATTAAAATAAACGACAAATGGATGAATTGTACATTGAGAATTATTCCAATGATAGCTTTAAACATCATCTTGCAGAACAAATGTGTACATTCCACATCGAACGCTCGACTGTTTCGGTCAAGTATTGCTTGCACTCCGTAATCGGTACTAGTTTTTTTCCCTATTGAGGTTTTTTTTTCATCCGCTTTTCATACTGAGTAGTGTTTGTAGTATACAACAGTGTAGTGAACATCGCGGAATTGTAATTGCCGCTCAATCGTTCGAGAAAGGAAGCAGTCATTTTCGGCCGAGTCCGGCAGATGAGCTGTACATCTCTAACCAACAAGTTTCATCCGCATCACGAAACGGCAAAATCAAGGTCATCGAGTTCACCAGCCGGCGAGCCAGCCGGTGCTTTGTTGCAAACACTCGAGGGCAACAATAGAACGATCATCACCATCATTCTCACATCAGGATAGATCATCGACATCAGCCACACTCCGTGCGCTTGTGTGGAGAGTTAAGTAACAAACGGTTATCTTCCGTTCTCCGCAACCTGATTAATCTCCATACAGTGTTGATTAGCTTTTCTGACACCTTTTTGTTTTTTCCTGAAAAAGTTTTCATTTTTTTTTTCTTTTTTTTCATTTACTGTTTTTTTTTTTTTTTTGCAAGTTGATTAA